TTGATTTTTTAGGATCAAAGCACAGTATTGCCTGAAATAGGGACTGCAAATATCCTCGGGGATATTGAAAGCGCTAACTTGTCAAGAGTATTTTGATTACGTACGTGACTTCAAAAGCCTTGTTTGAACCTTGGGGAAAAACCACGCGTAATTCAAAGATGGCTTTCTTCTCGGCTGGCGTTGAGCTACATTCTTCAGTCGAAAATTTGCGGTACGCGCGTGACCTTCAGAGAATAGTTTGTGACGTCACTTCCGCTCCGGTAGGCCGAGATTCCCCGCCGGAAACGGACGCTTTCCGGTGGGAGGAGTAATCTCGAGAGCGTGGGAAAATACATCTCATTTGCATAATGAAAATAGTCAGGATGAGAGTTTTCTTTCAGAACGCATGTCTAATTTATCATCTGTTTAGACTTGAACTGTACGCAATTTTGATGAGTGATCCTTGGATTCAGTCAGCTTTTGATTGCCTCAATTTTAACAAATAAATGATGATATTTTAACCCGCGCCCGGCTGGGGGTCCTGGATTTCCACGCCCTGCTGGGAGGGGGGTGTTTGAACACCCCCCCCCCTTGTAACTCGTCTCCTGGGCCACGTAGCGATACGCGGAAGGCGGCGCTCGAAAGAGCGTCAAAAATAATGACGAAATCACTTCGGTCAATTTTTTGTTCAGGTCAAAGGTCAGGCCATCAGAGGTCATTGAAGGCAAAATTTCGCCGATTTCCAGGTCGAATGTCGAAAATTTCCAAGAAGCCAACGCATAACTCGGGAACCAATAGAGCTACAGCGCCGCGGAAAAGCGCATTCGATAGCCCTATTAACGCCCTTTCTGAATAATACTCTCAGATTTGACCTAACGTCAACGGTTTTGCCTGCAGGGGGCAAAAACTGCAAAAATAGCCGATTTTTTTCGGAAACAGTTTTTCTGCAATAACTTTTGACCCAAGCCTTGTACGAGCTTACTTTTACCGGCATCGTGTTCCTCTCGTCAAGACGCATCGAATGAACTATAACTGGACCTTGAAAGGTCAACTTGAAAATTTGACCTCAGGTCAAGGTCATGACCTGACCGGAAAGGGTCATGTTGCATATCAGTCGATCCGTATCGTCGAGCTGAACACATCTAGGACGTTTTCATCGCTCTAGCATGCCTTTATCAAAAGTTATTTGCGAAAAACTGTTAGATACCATTCGTGACCTAAGATGACCTCAGGGCATAAACAAGGGTCACGGACACCATTTTCATGTTCAGTGTGTCTAAACCACTTGTAATTCGGTGCTTGGGAGTGTTTATAATGTCTTTCATCCAAAAGAGGCGCATTTCAATTTTCTCCCATTGACTTATAATGGGGAGGTCGCAAAATTGACCTGACCTTAGGTCATCGATATCAAAATTCTGAGATATACATTTTGTACATGCTATTGCTCTTACCAATCGCTGAAAGTTTCAAAACGATCGGTCACTCGGTGTAGCTATGACAGACATTGAAACTTTTTATGAGGTGAGGTCACTTCAAGTGACCTGGTGACCTGACCTTGAATGACCTTGGTCTGAAATTTTCACAACATGTGTAGAATTGATATATGATAAGGTGTACCAAAAACGGCGGAGCTCCACGCCGTTGTTTTTGAGATATTCGCGAAAAACCACAAGGGGGTGTTCAAACACCCCCCCCCCCCCAGCAGTGCGCGGGTTAATGGGAAGTGGCATTGAGCATCACAGTCTCCCAAATAAACATGATTAGCTGCATTATTTGCATATTAAAGGGAGGTTATGACCCTTTTCCACAAAATCTGAGTTAGGACCATTTTCTGACAAAACACAACAAGTTATAATGTAAATTAAAACCATTTTGCTCAATTCGGTACCTTGCCGCAAATATCTCAACTTGAAGTCACGTTAGCGGGGAGCGCTGAAAATGACCGTTGAATAAGTACTTACATCACTTTTTGGTACTTGCATGTAATTTTGTAAAATGAGCGTATTCATTACATTTGATCTTCATCACATCTAGTTAGTTAATGGTCGTCTAGCCTTCAAAAGATATTCATGGTTTGGGGGTGGTTTATGTCTAAATTTACGCAACTATTTTTCCTGTTCATCATCTGTCGCCATATGCTGCTATTTTAGTAGCAACGACTCAATTTTGAATCGGTCCCGCCGACTGCACAATAAAAGAAGATAGATACAACACTTTTGCGGCATCACTGAAAAACTTATGCAGTACTGTTATCAAAATTCTCATAACACCGTTCGACAAACCTTAAGTCTTTTTGAAATAAATATGCTTGTATTTTTCGCTTCAGGCTCTGAGGCCAAAATAATGAATTTCGTAGTCGCAATCGCAAGATTTGGCTGCGTTTCTGGCGCTTGCCGTTCATTTGTGGCGCAAAATAATACTTGGAAACAAAGAAGAGTAGGCACTGTGTACCCCCGAATTAGAATCTAATTAATTCTAAACCGAATTAACTCTAATTCAAAGTAGAATCCTTACAACCAAGCAACGACAAGGCGATAACATAACAAAAACCCAAGCGTCGCTGTTTGAAACAAAAGCGCCATATACTGCGACTTTTTTATAGAGAAGGACAACGCATTTCGGTGGGTGTTACAAGTACTGCAAGTACTGCTTCTTTTTTGCAAAAATAAAAACCTTTTTCACATACGAAAATGTGCTAGGAAATTTTCATATTTTATAGAAACTACAGTAGAAATAGTATAGATGTCGAGTAATTTTTATTTAAGAAAAAAGAAAGCTCGTTATCTCCCTTTAATGAACATTAATAAAACGATTCAATGAAACACAATTCCTAGTAGGGCTGCTCAAACATACCATTGCTTACATCCAACGACAATTGCTGGTGCTTTATTTTCTTTCTTGAATCAACCCAGTGCCCGACCATAATAATTGAACCCGTAATCACCCATTTCGAAATGAAGCCCTCCGCGGCGCGTTTAAATTTGACCTCGACAGATTTTTACTCGTTTTCCCCAAAAATCAATTCACAAAAACCCGTCTGCCGTCCTGCCTCAGCGGATCCAAACCGGACCGACGTCCTGCCGAATGCAGGCCAAAATTTCGCTATCTAATCTCTAGTTTCCCAAACGAGAGCATAAAATATCGATGGCGTGGTCTAAATTAGTCGATAATTATCCGTGGATTGATTATAAGGCCGGCCGGCGGTCGCCCGGATTTATTACGGGTCTGCGGGACGGACGTCCCAAGACGATCGGCACCCGTGGATAAAAACATGTTTTTGAACCGGACCGCAAAAATAGCTCGGAAGGAGGCAACACCCGCGGAAAATAGACTACAAGTGAGTGGCCTAAAGAGTGGCCCAAGACGGTCCTGTCCTTAGGCAGTAGCAGGGAATCTTCGGAGCACGGGAAAGTTGCTATTGCGATGATACCTCAACCATGCGTAGCTGCATGAAAATCAAACGGTGTCCGAAGTCGATATTTGCAGTATTTACACCTAACTGTTACTTGCGCTGGTACCTGGAGCCTGCCTTACACAGCAGATTGATTCATCATCTGCTAGAGTAACCAGTAGCCAATATTTCTTTAAACGTTGAGCAATGCATCAAATGACTTTATTTTGAATATACGCGACATCCGCGGTGGTCAAGATAACCGCCGTCCTGTGTTGTTGTGTTATTGAGGTGTTCTCTGTAGACTTATCCATAGGTGCACAGTCTTGCGGTGTTCTGTGCTTTCTATAGAATGCACAGGTGAGGTGTAAAAACGCTGCGCCAGCCAGGCGCCGCGCGAAATGATCTCACCTGTTTCGCACCCCATTACCAACTCGCCTTACCACCCCTATACGAACTGAAGCGGCGAATCTAAAGACAGGTGTGCTTGTGCAGGCCTCATTGACCCACTCTCCTCTCTCCCTCCCCCCTCTCTCCTGGGTGCCGCTCTGCCTCCCTTCCCCTCCCCGCCGTGTCGCCGCGAGGGGAAGGACGGGAGGCGCCGGGCGGCTTTGGACAGGGTGAGGGGAGGAGGAGGAGGGGGGGGGGGGGGGGTAATGAGGGAGGTAATTAGAGGACGGCACGTGTTGTGCACGAGCAGGTGAAGAAGTGTTCGATAAAGTGGAGATGGTGCTTTGCTGTGCAAACTGAGTGAAATCAAGGACAGGACTTCTGTCAACAATGGCGATAAATTCCATTAGGGCTGCGGAGTCGGAGTCGGAGTCAGAGTCGGAGTCGGCCGGAATCGACAATTCTTAGCGGAGTCGGAATCGGAGTCGGAGTCGATTTTGGAAACCGGCGGAGCCCGAGTGGGAGTCGGAGTCACCGGTAATCCATAGACTCCGCAGACTCGGACAGGGCTGCAGAGTCGGAGTCGGAGTTGGAGTCGACAGTACTGCCCGGAGACCGGGAGTCGGAGTCGGAGTTGGTTTTTGGAAGTCGGAGTCGGAAGCGAGGTCACCGAAAATTCATCGACTCGGAGTCGGAGCGGGAGACGATTTTGGAGCGAGCAAGAGCCGGGAAGTCGGAGTCAAAGTCACCGAATAAATCCATGACTCCGCAGGCGCAACCTTAGCAAGGCCGGGCTGCGGAGTTGGAGTCGTACAAGTCGAAGTCGGTCGGATTCAACACTTCTGCCCGGAGTCGGAGTTGATTTTTGGAAGGGCAGGAGGAGTTTGAGTCGGAGTCACCGTAAATCCATATTTATTCACAGCCCTGTTCGAAAGTACCTTGGGTACATTCAAATTGTATAAAAACGGAATCCCAGAGTGCAATTTCGGATTCCCCATATTCACTTTTCAACGCAACAATGTATGTGTAGGTTTACATCATACGGCTAGGTCTTAGCCTAATATCACATCATTTTGACTTCCAATTTCCAAAGCAATTTTCTGTGCCGAAACATAATTTCGCTAAAGAGCACGTAGATGATTGGTAAAGTTTTTTGGTGTTTGGTAGCTAAACTTGGTAGCTCTTATTGATTCAATAATGAGCGACATGCTTCGTAAGCGCAACGCATCTTAGCAGCTGTCGTTCGCGTGGATGTTTTTGTTTTTGTGGGGCTATTTTTAAGAAAATAATAAAGGAGGTTAGGACGACACTTTGTTACGATGGGTAGAACAGTTGTTGCTGAAAAATATTTAGAGTCAGAAGTCAAGACACTTGTGGGTTCTGGAGCGAAGTATGGTCTCATTATTGGTCAGGTAAGAATTCATTTAAATTTGATTTAAAGCTTGTTTTAGTTTTTATTTCTGCTGAAATAATCAGATGAGTTCAATTAGCATGATAATGTTTTTCAATGGAAACTACTTGCAGATGAAATCATATTTTTTTACATCGGTTGTTGGTCATTCATATCAAAATGAGAATAAAATGGTAGGTAAGGCTGTGAGGGTCGGGGGCCAGTTTGTGACAAATCATGATCATTTGTGGATATTCTGACATATTTGAGTAAAAACTGCTGTATTCTGAATACCTTGACCTGTTGTTGAATTACGTATTCAATGGCACCTCGTCTTTGGCCGCATTGTAATTGCCAGTAGAAGTGGGTTTGCATATTGGTTGGTTAAAATTTAGACATTTTTTGTTCCTTTTTTCCTTGTGAGACAGTGACAGTCATTGAATCAGAATACGATGTGATCAATGTTCAGTTAATATTGAATGCTAATTGTTCCATTCCCCCTTGTTCTCCAGAACACCACAGGCCGGGCAGTTGTGGCCCATCTATGCTGCACACCACCTTCCGAGGCAGCCAGTGATTCTCCAGTGAATGACTCTTGGATCGCCAAACATGCCAAGCAGGTAGCCACTCCTATAACCATATGATATTATTCATTTGTGTGTTTATTTGCATTCATTGCTTTCATTGTATTCATATATGTAGTGGACATCACAATTGCCCGTTGGCCCTGTGATGAGGTGAAACACTTGTGCCAGCTGGTTTTGTATGTGTTGGCACAATGACTGTCGACACTTTCTCACAGACTTTCGTTGAACTGCTAGGCTAGGGCTTTGAGTAACTCACTCACCTGGTGAGTTATCTGAGTAAGATGCAACTGAGTAAGATACATTTTACCTTGATTTCATAGGTAGTTAAAGTGTGGCTAGGATTATTCTTTCTGCTGACATTTTGTATGTAGACACCAAACATTGTATTTCCTGTAAAGCTGCTCACATGTATAGCTTCTTGCTGAATGATAGTTTATGCGGAGTTAGGAAATCAATTTCTGTACAGTGTACCATTGTCATCTTGATACATGATTGCTGCCCAAACAGTGTCTACCTTATTTCATGTGACCATGTCACATGAAGCTTTGGGATGGGCTTTGGGAAGGGGGGCCATCCCAAAGCTTTCAGAGCTTTGGGGTGGCCCCCCGTATCCCTCATTCATCTGTGGTTACTGGTTACTGTAGCATGCTATGTAAATCCTCTAACCTTATGTACTTCCAGTGAATCATGGAACATCCCCCCCCCCCCTATAGGTCATTCAGCTGCTGCCCGGTGGTATGGATATACTCGGTCTGTTCGTTGTGGCCTCCCCGGACCTCTTCAAGTCACACGAGACTCAGCTGCGCTCGGCTCTCACTGCCATCTATCGGGCGCTAGAGAAACTACCGCAGCTGCACGATACGGAGACTGACGAAAGGCTCGTGGCACTGCTCGATCCGAGGACCAAAAAGTACGTGCTTGTGGGATGTTTCTCTCATGTTTGTCGGTGTATTTTGGATGTTATCATTTATATTTTGCCTTTTTATGCGTCTAGATTCCTATTGCTTGAAGCATTGTACTGCTCTCCATTTTCATGCAGAAGCAAGTCATATTTCATCACAAGGCGACATGATGCTGATTTTCACACATGATATTGCATTGTAACCATTTCGGCTATAGTTTTAGGGCCTTGATTTTGATTACTCACATGTTCCATGACCTTTGACCTATGTCCTCCAACCAGTAGTGTGTCATGTTCCATGACCCTTGACCTATGCCCTTACAGGGTGACATGCCGCTCGCTGGAGCTCTCCAGCCTGACCTCGTCCCTCCGACCGGCCGAGTGGCGGTTCCAGGAGGTGCGCTGGCACCGCGCGCAGAGCGCCCTCTCTGTTCAGGTGACAGCCGGAGTGGGCGTCCTGGCGGCCGAGACCAGTCTGCTGCGACAGGTTATGGTGAGTCAGAGACGAGTCTACAGTGAGAGGTTATAGTAAGTCAGAGAGTGGTATATGATGACAGGTCAGGTCAGGTGATAGAGTGGTCTTCGACGGCTTTGGAAATTATCGGAGTATGCTTCAGTGACAGGTCAATCTTAACCAGGTTATTTAAATTCATAGAGGAGACATACAGCTGTATTCTGTGAAAGCTGGTGATGACTAGTCATAGAACAGAGGTTATTGTCACGAAGTCACGATCTTATCACAGGTTATGGTACTTCATTGAAAAGTTACTGATGTTGGTCATATTAAGATATTTCTACCTGGTACTACCAGCGTCGTTTGCTCTTCTGTTGCATCGTTTTATTCTCACTCGTGGCTGCCTAGCTGAAAATCAGTGCTGTGACAATCCCCCACCCGTTTTGTTTTTGTCACCAGACGTCTCTAGAGCCGTTTCTCTCGTCCCTGGCGGACGCCAGCTGTCTCGTCGACGGAAAACTGGTCGACGGAGACGCTCTCCTGTCGGGAGATGACGAGAAACCGGGAAAATCAGCCGGAAAAACGTTCGCCTTCGATCTACTCTATGACACGGTGAGTGTTGCGTGGATGAGTTTTGTGCTGCCGAAAGCTCATTTGGTGGTGTTTTTATGGTTTTGGTAAATAATATAATTATGTGTGTCTGCTGCTTAAAATTGTAAAGTGAGATAAAACTACACGTTTCACGTTATCGGAAATCGGAATTATTGTCGTCACAAATGTCGGTATTTCCGACAGTCTATTGACTCTTTTGTCTATTGAATCTTTGTTATCGCTTGATGACTCAGTACCACTTAATTTATTTTGTTAAAGACGTTGTTTTCGTTCAGTATGTGTATCTGTATATTTAAGCAAAGAGCGATGACCGACACGTTGAAACCGATGTCGCCATGGCTTGTTGAGAAGTGAAAACTTGGTGTCAACTAAGCTGTAATACATGTTATCCACGTCCTAATGTTGAAGCCTATGGGCCTAAACACGTGCACGTGCCACGTGCAAGAAAAATAATTATATTCTTAGCTGAGGGTGTTTCGTGGTAGATAATCTGTGGGGGCAGCTGCCCTGAAAATTTAATCAAAATCTATCGGTTCGTGTGCGAACGGTGCAAGGTGCCCCAATTCGCTGCACCAAACACGAATCCTATCCCGAAATGGAAACACCCTCAGTTTGTTTTTCAATAGAAAAACACAATTCTAAAGAATAGTGTTTGTCTAATGAAGAAACAACCTTCGGGTACCTAATTTCGCAATGATTTTACAAGACCCAATTCAGTTTATTCTTGATTTTATCCCACTCACTCACTCCACTGTGAGTTTGTGACGAGTCCACGTGCTGACGTGTCTCTCCGGTCCCTCCCCAGACGAAGACGCCGCCTAGCGAGCAGCTGCTGGAGCCGGTGGAGGCCGTCATCAGGATCAACGGGAGGATCCACTGTCTGGCCTATCTACCACCAAGGCCACGGTGAGAGAGAGAAGACGAGTCGTTTTTTATTGTTCACGGTCTGAATGGAAATGTTTTAGGTTACACATCGCTAATTGCAATAAGTGAATGTCAATGTATAAATTAGAGAATCTAAAGTGGATGCATGTAACA